TAAATTTATTTTCAAAAAGTTTTTTAAAGTATTTACACTATGATACCAATAAGGCATGTTGCTAGAATTATTTTGGATTTGTTGTGGTATAAATGATGATCCATTGACTGTCAACGGCCGCAACAACCTAAATAAAGCCATATTTAAATTTATATTAATTAAGCATTACAAATAAATAATTTGTATACAAACCATACAAAATCAAATTCGAATATAATTAAAAATATTTATAATAAAGTATATATTAATACTATTTAAAATAATTTTTATACAAACCATAAAAAAGTGAATTCGAACATAATTTAAAAAATATTTATAATAAAATATTTATTAATACAATTTAAATGGGCTTAATATCTAATAATGTGGTAATATTAAAGTAGCTCGCTATTATACAGAACAATATTAACGCCGGCCCATTATATTATCTTATACTAAGTCCATTAAAATTGGATTTTTATTGGCCCAAGACTGAATTTTCCGATCAACCAAAAAAAGAAGACCAGATGGTTAAAACAAAGTCAATGAATATGGACGACTAGGATTGATTTGAGGGTTAGTATAAAATCCAATAAAATCAGAACTATCGGGCAAGAGCTTTCTCTCCTTATTTCGCCGCAACCATTTTTTTCGTTCGTATTCTTTCAATTTTTCCAGTCGAAATTTATTGCTCTTTTTAGGTTTGTTATATAGATTAGTTGTACAAATTTTGTTCGTATCCATCTATTTTATCATATCAATCTTAGGTTTGTTCTTCACATTTTTTTTAAATCTATTCAAATGAAGATTAGGTTTCATTTTAAATATTTAAGTTTTTGATCGATTTTGTATGATTTCTTATCGATTATTATGATTCTTAAAAAAAAATCATTCGTTTCTTTGTCAAAAACGAAATTTTGTTTATTGTATTTTAGGCTAAAGTGAACCCGACTGCGATCGGTTCGATACCGTCTGGCTAAGATGATTTCAGGAATCTCGGACCAACTACTGATCTTGTTCATGAATGCCCTCATTCGGCTTTCCTCTCAACCCCTTGTTCTAATCTTTTTTCCTAAAGAACAATCGATTACTAGCTAGACTAGTGCATGCAAACTGAAATATTAGAGAACCTTGATCTTATTGATCAGAAAGAGCTTATCATCGCGCCTTAAATTTAAGAAAGGAATCTTCTTGCTTTCCTGCTTCGGCCTGAGATTGCCGCTCTCCTTGCTTGTGGGAAACTAGAACTGTTGATAGATAGGGAATACGTAGGGGTGGTGACGCACGTTATTTTGATAGATTTAGGGATTTTTATGTTTGCTGTTGAGCAGAAATTGTTTTTAAATTACCGAGTACCGAATCAAAAGATTCGTTCCCCGGGTCAATCTCTAGAGGAAAGCATTTCGATATCTAGCATTGGTATTGATAACACATAAAATGAAAATAAATCCTAAACATTCTAATCAAGATAGGGTGTGAAGAATTATTAACTAAGATATAATCTAAAACATAAATCTACCTAGAAACATAAATGAAACAATAATAAAGAGGCTAGGGAATCGGGGATAATTAATTCAAGTTCGAAGCATAAAGCCGGACAATTAACCGTTCGGTTCAAGATTGAAACTCTCGCTTAAACATCTAGCGGTTTGCTCCCAATAACTCTTCGTAACACGGGACTGAACATAGACGAGTAAGTTCGAGCATACAACACCGGCCAATAATCCAATCCCAATAACTCTTCGTAACAAGGGAAGGGGCATCGATAGCATGCGAGTGTGAAGCGGACGCGAGCGAGGAAGTCAGCTGCGAAGGGGCGCGCGCGATAGCTGCGAAGGGGTGCGCGCGATAGCAAGCGAGGAAGTCTTTGATGTGGTATATTAGAGTTTGGATGTTTTTAGTTTCGAATTCCGAGGACGGAATTCCTTTTAAGGTGGGTAGACTGTAATGCCCCGTTTATTTTTGAAATATTTGGGATTATTTGTTTATTT